ACTGGGTCTCATAGAAGTTCAAGTGTTTTCCTGCGGTGTGACAAAGCCAACATACAAATCTCACTTTGCTAATTTCAGAACTTACACTCTTTTCACTACGTCTTGCTACATAAATTGTTATGCTAGGAACACACTATCAAACATCCAACGTTTTTATTGCCTTTTAAAATACTAGTAACAGCTGCAGAGGCCACCCAAGTCCGGCAGCCTCAGCCACAGCCAGTAAATGCAGAGTGAATACATTTTGTGACCTCAGCCCCCAGTGTCCCAGTTCCTGAACCTGACCTTCTCGGCGCTAAAGTTTGCCAGTGGTTTGGTTCAATGTGTGCTATATATGGGGAGATGTAACTCCTCAGCCATGAAGAATATCAACTAGCGAGGTTTTGTCATTTATGTCTGATTATATTTCCCACTTGTGTTTTAAAAAGTATTTCACTATCAAATGGTGTCCTCTGTTGGAAAAGCTCATGATAATTGTGTCATACAGCATGTACGTTTTGTGTAAGGATTTTCTCATTCAAGATAACGCTTTTGTGCTTCATTCACGTTGTCTTGATAAAAGGAGCTCTCTTCTTTTAATTGAAGCATGATTCTATTGTAAGACTATGATAATTTCTTTTTCTCTTGACAAATACCTCGGCTGTGTCCGGTTTTTCATGAAGATATTTTGTGGTGAAAATATTCTAGGCAAATACCTAGAAATGGAATTGCTAGGTCATGGGATAAGTATATATGTTGAGTTTTATAGGCAATTTGCCAATTTTTTTTCTGAGAGAATCGTGTTATTTTAGCGCCCGCCAACAATGCATTTTTGTTGCTTCCCATCACCAACACCTGATATTATCTGTCTTTTTTTGTTGTTGATTCTGACAGGTGTTCATATTGCAGTTTGAATTACAAAGCAGGAAGAGTCACTATAGGGTCTCCTTTATCAAGAGGTGACTCAGCCAACACTTATATTCATGCCCTGTTGTGATAGCAGTCGTGGATTCTTACACTATTTGCTTAAATCATTAAACCAAGATTCTCATCCAAAAGTAGTAAATGAAGAGCACATCGTGCTTACTTTGAGTGTTTTGGGATTCAACTTGAACTCCAAATCACTGAAACTTTTTGCAATTAATTTTTAAGGTTTGTAAGGTAATACTAAAACTTCTAAAATTAATTAAAATAATTAAACTTTATGCTCAACAGAGAAAAATAATCACTACCTAACCACGGACTGCAAAAATATATATATATATTTCTTTGGCTAAATTAAATGAATATCACCTCCAGGGCAAATTCCAGCGATCTGAACTTTGACAAATAAGGGTGAATCATTGTAGACTATAAGCATAAGTAATATGTGGTAAAGTTACTCCCAGGTTAAGTTGATTTCAGCTCCTGGAGGAAGTCCAGAGTTCTAATTTTATTATAAAGGTGCAGTTTCCTTAGCTCCAATACTTTAGCTCAAAGATGTCTCAGGCACTTCAGTTGCTGTTTTCTTGGCTTTCCCACCCCCCCCCCTTCTCCATATTCTGTCTCTTGTCTATTAAAAATAATATAAATGGACTTTGTTCCTCAGGAAAGGTATTTCAGTCCCTTGCTTACAATGTCAGACATACAACCCACCTGCATACTTGTCTGTCGGTGAACTGCAAGGAGCTGGTAGCATCTACAGCTCCAAAGTGAGAGAAACAAATTGCATGAACCCTGAGGTGGCTGTCACCTGCAGGAGACACTACCGCAAGACACTGTAGCTTTTTAGTTCCTTGCTTTCTGCATATTTTAATTTCCCAAGGCACTAAAGGATAACATACTGTAAAAATGAGTTTTTAAAGCAGAAAATGAACCTGTTGCATTCATTTTTGTAAGGAGTTGTGTTTCTCGTGGCCTCTACTTAGTTTCCTCCCACAACATTGATGAAGATGCAATTGATTCCACAATTTCCAGAGTCTCAAGGTGTTCCAGAGGCATTAAGGAGATGTCACCCACAAAAATACTATAAATCGGTCATTTAATCTGTTCTCTTTTTTTTACAAGCATTTAATATATTGCATTCTTCAGTACTGTAAGATAATTAACAAAATATACCGGGGCTTAACATAGCTTAAGATATGTTCATATGGTTGTCATTTGTTTGAATTACATAAAATAGCAACTATATATGGAGTTTGCACAGTTTTGAAACCAAGCCACCAAGCACATATTTCGTAATCTTAAAATAAGAATACTCCATGGCTTGGAACGACATGGTACTGGCTAATTATCCCACTCAGAAAATGTATAATACATGTAACAGATTTGTTACGTAGTTTTAATTTGCTTGTGACCCACCAAGGCCAATATTATACATAAATAAAAATAGGCAACCTCAGTTGGAATGATGAGAAGCACAGAAAAAAACCTGCCTGCCTTAAGATATTTTCCCTCTAGCGCATCTTTGAAACAAAATGCTACCTTCAAGCTTTCAAATTAAAAAGCAAAGTTCAAGGCTCGGCACGGCACGGCAGCTAAAGTCCTCAGCTTGAACGTGCCAGGATGCCATATGGATGCCGGTTCTAATCCCAGTGGCCCTGCTTCCCTCCCAGCTCCCTGCTTGTGGTCTGGGAAAGCAGTCGAGGACAGTCTAAAGTTTTGGGACCCTGCACCCTCATGGAAACCCAGAGGAGGCTCCTGGCTCCTGACTTTGGATTGACTCAGCTCCAGCTGTTGCGCTCACTTGAGGAGTGAATCAACAGATAGAAGATCTTCCTCTCTGTCTCTCCTCTTCTCTGTATATCTGCCTTTCCAATAAAAATAAATAAACCTTTTTTTAAAAAGCAAAGTTCAATACACCATATACCTGGATTACCTTTTATTATTCATACTGCTAATTCCCATTATTATCTGTTGAGAATCTAGCAGGACCGATAGGGACTAGGACACACTTGATGTCATCTCAGGGATGCAGATGACATGAAATAATGAGAGGGAGGGTATGCGGTGCGGAGGGGAGGGGTGTATTAGCTTATGGTCACTCTGACAATAATAAGCAATAACTACGCCAAGCTACTTACAGGGAAATGTTTTTATTTGCTCAGCAAATTTGGAAACTTCACAGGTGAGACCCAGACAACTGTAAAATGGCAGAGTTCAGAGAGGAAGATGAGAACACAAGAAAAAAGCTAGGTCCCACTCAGCTCTTATGGTCACCAGTCCAAGGACAGCCATCTTGCAAGGGTGTGCCCCCAGTGACTTCAGGCCCACATCCTAAACACCACAAATGAGAGGGACTTTCTATCCTAGCAGCACTGCCAACCTGCGACCCTGGCTTCAAAGTGCTGCATAAATTGAGAAACCAAATCACTTTTTTATATATAAGGATTTATTGACTTTTATTGGAAAGAAAGATTTACAGAGAAGGAGCAACAGAAAGCAAGATTTTCCATCTGCTGGTTCAATCCCCAAATGACTGTACTGCTTTCCCATGCCATAAGCAGAGAGCTGGATGGGAAATGAAACAGCTGGTCCATGAACCACTGTCCATATGGACTCCCAGCATTTGCAAGGGGAGGATTAGCCACTTGAGCCACTGCGCAGGGCGCAGCCAAATTACATTTAAACCATGGCAGGCGCGGGTAACAACCCTGACCACCTGGGCACTGGAAGGCACCTGTGGGAGAAAGCGCTGAAGGACATCCTGGGATCTTCACTAAAGACACCTTTGCTCCCATAGTTGGCCTAAGGCTGGACCCATGAGATCCAAACGGAAAGCATTGTAGTCTTTTCAATTACAGATAAAGCCGAAATCTCGCCTGCAAATTTTTGAGGCACTTTGCTGGAAAGTCATGGGATGACTGTGCAAGCGTCTCTGATACTGAAGCGAAGAATGTTGCATCTTCCTGAGTTACATAAGCCCTATGGTTAGATAAACTCTGGCTCATCTACTAAATCAGTACAGAAAATGAAAACTAATTAGCATTGGAAAGCACTGTGTACATATATAGAATTCTTAAAACTTAACTCACCATTTTTTTTTCCTGATAATTGTCCCTGATATTTTCCACTGACCCATTTTACAATAGAATCAAGTCCAAATGCTCTATTATTTAATCAGATTCTACTGTGTGTTTAATGATTGGAGATATAAATAGAGATAACACTTTAGGACATTGGCCAGTGTTCATCTTTAGATTTCTTTCCTTTCTAGTCTCTCTGTAAACTTTTTCTCTTTCATTTGGGTTGCTGTATTTGTCACACACTATTTCAATTGCATATAAAGAGTATTATTGTATAGACAATCTTTCTGTGGATGAAAAAGCAAGAACAATCCCTCAACATTTTCTCATTTTTCACATTTAGGCATGTTTTATCAGGTATGATAGGCAGACTCAAAGACATTAGAAAGAATTTTGCAGCGCAAATTCAATGTTCATTTAACTTTAGATTGTCACACACACAATTTTATTACCTCTTTTTTTCATAAAATTTTTATGTTTTCATTAAAAAGCATTTCACCTTTCATCAATTAGTCATAGCAAACAATAAAGGAATATTCTCTAGACCAAGACAAAAAAAATCTTGATATAAATAATTTGAAAATTGTCTCTCTAATCATATTATGCTAGGATCCCAATATTAAAGGGCTATCTTACAACCGGCAATTGAATCACTCTTGGTTAGTTTCTCTAAAAATAAGTATGTTTTCATCTTTTTGCAGCCTAGGAGATTTTTATAGTTTAAATATATTTTGGAAATTTGTTTCAACGGCTACACTGAAAATGTCTGATATGTTCAATTACTTTGAGTTTTTGATTTTTAACTGCCTGCAGAAGCCTACTGCTGGAGAAAGAAAACAGTCAGAAAGACACTTATGTAAGAGCTGTCACCCTGCACAGTGGCTCGGAGGCAGGGATTCAAGGTTTGAAGAACTCTGTTGAGTTTGTTCCCCTCTTGCTGCTATGACAAAGGGGTGATACGTGAAATCTTGAGTGAACCAGTGAGCAGAATCAGAACATCCTTTTATTCTGTTTCAGCCCGGAAGACGGTGAGATCCACCCCGAGATCTGTCGACTCTACATCCAGCTCCAGTGCTGCTTGGAAATGTACACCACAGAGATGCTCAAGTCCATCTGTCTGCTGGGGTCTCTTCAGTTTCACCGGAAAGGTATGTTCCTCGGTGCCAGAACCACGGAGGAGTGCTCCCCAGGGAGCTAAAATTCAGTCCACAATCAGAACAGATTGAAGTACCCAGGAAACAGCTGATCTATGATCCAACGAGAAGTCTTTGCCTGTACCAGCTATGTGCAGAACTGGCATGGAAGCAGTTGTTAGATTTATTATTTTACCACTTGTAAAGATGGCTTTCATTACAACAGCATAAGTAACAAAACTATATATAATGATCTTACAGGGTAGTAAATGCTACCCAATAGTGCTACTATTTTCGTAAAAGAATTAAGTTACAACAAGAGTGATGATATATCATGTCCCAAAGATTTAAAAACAAGGAGAACTCAACAAGTAACAGAGAAGCATTTTAGTAATAGAAAAAAATCTTGTTTCCTGGTTTAAAGCATAAAGGGAATATATTGGCTCACATGTACCCTCCAATGATGTCTGTGCCTTCAGCTAGGTTTGATCAGATTTCAGATCCCGTATGAGTGATGCTCTGCCCAATGGGGTTTGGTTTTTCCCTCAAGCTGGCATCCCCACATTGGCAAACAAATTGCAAAAGTTCCAATCATCACATGTGCATTCCTATGCTCTATAGAGACAGCAAACTTCTCTCAACCAAACAGCCAGTCCTGGGCTTCATTCTAAGCAGGGCTTCATTCTAAGCACATATGCCTGAAAATGTATGTGATCCCTGGGGAACTGAGTGTGTTGGTGAATGGCAACAGTCGAAAGGGCCAGCACAGGTCTTCCAGTGCCAATCCTGCAGAGGGGGCAGGATTCCACTGACTGGTATGGACAGTCAAATCCCATATGTGGAGCTAGGGTTAAAGTCAACCCCATCCAAGCATCCCAAGTTAAGGATGGGAGAGGGTGGGAACTCAACAGATGCTGGAAAGGAAGCTAGAAGTTTCCGTTACTGGAAGATTCAACCTATATTTTCTTCATTAAATAACTGAACACAATTCATTGGGAACCTCCTGTACACAAATGTTTTGTACTTGGATTTAGGAGAATAGGGGAGTACAGAGAAGGTCATGTTTGAATGCAGAGATAGAAAACATTAGTGAACTCAACAATACTCATGAAAATTCTTAGGATGCTAATGCTAGAGTACAGTAAGGAAGGGGAAAAAATGAAGACGTGTCATGAATAGAAGCAACTAAAATAAAGATTTGGAAGCAAATGAGCATTGCAATCAGGGAGCTCTAAATGACATAATAAAGTAGCTGAAAAAACAAATTTTGTGTACCCATCTATGTATGTAAACACCAAGATAAAAAAAAAAAAAAAGATTGTGCCGCATTGCTCTGGAGACAGGAGAAGCTACAATGAATTTATCAATACTATTTCTTTTACATTTTTCCTTCTGAGGGATGATCTTTCAAGGGTTTCCATCTTTATCCCTTTTAGTAATTTAAGTGAGCATATTTGGAGAGATTGGCCCCTAGACATACTAATGCCTTATCGGAATACTAATACCCCCACCCTCCACACAGGTGTCACCAGTACAATGGTATTATTTGTCTTCTGTCTCTGAGACACACATTTGTGCCTACGTCCATAGAGAACACACATGTGGAGTTCTCGTTCTTTTTAAAGAGTGCAGTGAGTAGAGGGTAGTTTTGTTCTTGGGTCTGCATTGGCTACAGCTGCAGAAAGCCATCCCTTGTGGCCAATGGAATCCTCTTTATTAGCAATAGGTCCTTACCATGAAGTGGCCTTCACTCCCGCTCTGGCTGTAACTTTTCCATTTTCCCTTCTGTCCCCTTCTGCCATCCACTACTACTTTTTGTCTTTTCATAAGCGGTTTTTGGAAGCAAAGCTCTTCTCCGCTGGCTGCTTATTTGCAAGTACAAGAGGTTCCATCACCCGGACGGCTTCCTTGCTGTATCTAGTCTTGAGCACGCAAATAAAAAGCATGTCACTCCTTAACTGATTGGCTCATTTAGATTTCATTGCCTCCTGTCTTCATTGCCAGTCTCCATTCTATTTCCTCCCCTGGCTCTTTTAAAAGTAAATTACATAAACTCGCTTATTACAGTTTCAGAAACACACATATGCAGAGACAGGGAGACCGAGGTCTTCCACCTGCTGGTTCGTTTCCCATATGGTTGTGATGGCCCAGACTGGGCCAGGCCAAAGTTAGGGTGCAGGAGCTTCTTCCATGTCAGTGGTGCAGGGGCTCAAGTACTTGGAACATGCTCTGTTGCTTTCCCAGATGCTTTATTAGGGAGCTATGTTGAAAATGGGGCAGCCAGGACTTGGACTGACACTCATGTGGGCTACTGGGGCTGCAGGCAATGGCTTAACCTGCCACACCGCAATGCTGGCCCCCTATGTGTAGTTCTTAAAAGAAAATACTTGGTAGCATTGTTATTTCTGCCCCCATGTGAGATTAAGTCTCCACTTGCCTGCATGATTCGTATAAGTGTTACTTAGAAGTGTCATCTTTGGAAAATCCACTTCTATCCAAAATGCTGAACATGTATATTCTTGAAGTCTACCCAAAAATCTACTAAATCTGAAACTGGGGACATCCCAGGTAAGTTGGAATCGCTATGAGGATTGAGAACTCTTGCTTTACCCTTTGAAACAAACAAACAAAAAAATCAAATTATGTCTCATCCTCCATGGAGAGTAAAAAAATGTTCCAAGTGCTTGTCTTGCCATTGTCCTTGGCTACTATCTGCTCCCCTAATTGAGTGCTTGCAGCATCATTTTATGATTTCTTTTTTCTCCTCCGTGCTTATGGAAGACAAATGCAAAATTGGTCACTGGTCCTGGTGAGTGTGAGCTACGTACAGACTCATACTGTGCGTTTTCTCCAAGAACTCTTGACATGAGCATTGAAATAAGCAGTGTTCCTCACAATGCAGTCCTTGAACTGGCAGCCTTAGCATCGAAATCACTTGTTAGAAAAGCAAATTCTTGGTCTTCACCCCAGACCTACTAAATCAAAAGCTCTTCTAAAATGACTTCCCTTACTGTGGGGAAAAGTATTTCAAAAGCAATTCCTTGGGACATTTCTTCCCTGAATTTATTTATAAGTTTTTATTTTCCTATGATCAGCAAAACATCTTGACTTCTTTGGAAGTGTGTGCAGTGAGGAGCTTGTGTAACCAAGCATGCACATTCCCCAGCTAGCTCTCCTGTGGATGAACCCCTGTGCCCTGGCACCAGCGGAGTTAAGGCAGTAAAGAAAAGGTGACATCTGTGAGAGATTCTCAACTGATGTAGGTATGAAGAAAACAGTATTATCTGGGATTGTAATACTATCATGAGCAGTGGGTACCAAAGAAACCTCATTAAATAAGAAAAACACATGCATGAAAGAATATACATAACACATTTCCTGAAAGATTCTGGAATGCCAAAGAAATAATAAATCTTGATAAAGGGACAGTACCATCAAAAATCATTTTAACTCTCCAATTTTATCTATATTTACATACATCCTTTCTATTTCTTTATTCCTCCCATTAACTTCTTCATTGTAGCTAAGGGATTAATTATATTGTTACTATTATTATTATTTTGGACTTATTCTGGCTTGTCTGGCTTGTGTGCTCATTCCTACCTTCAGGATAGCAGAAAATGTGAGTTAGTGGTACCATGGGACACTGTTGAGTAACCTGTTGATACTCATAAACATATTCCAAGTCTATGACTGAGTTGCTAGGAGGTCCTGTTTGAAGAACAATAGAACTACCTGGCTTCCTTGACCTTGAATTGTCAGGAAAGCGTTGAGCAACAAAAAAGGTTCACAGACCATAGCGCAAGGGTAGAAAATGTTAAAGAAACTGTTGACATGTTACAGCTTGGAGTCCATACTCAGAAAAGTGGTCCTAGAAGAGTCAACAAGCCTTAGAAACCATGATACACCAGTTGTATGCTAGAGAGAGAGAGAGAGAGAGAGAGAGAGAGAGAGAAAGAGAAGTGGGGATAGGGAAAAAGACTACTGACTTGACTTTAGAAGGCGTTGAAACAAGATGTGATCAAGGGAAAATATACATAAACTCTAAATGAGCAAGGAGTGAGGACTGAAGGTAGGTGCTTGCCTATTTTAGGCAAGGTGTGGCAGAAGGAAGAATGAAACAAGAAATCTGTTGTCCCTTATATCCAGAAATGTTACACACACAAACACCTTGCACATAGTTATTTGTGAAGGTACTTTAAACTTCCACAAAAAGATGTAAATATTTTAAATCCATCTTGTTCCTGAGGCTTTTGAATATCCCATATATACATGGATTTCAAGAACTGCTTGTACCAAAGTAAACTTTTTAAAAGTACTGTCATATGTTTAGATGTCTGGCATAGCTTAGTCTCCCCTCCACCCCACCCCGCCAAATATCCACTAGAAAATAAAAGTCTGCCTACTAAGATTAAAGGTTTTTGGATAACTTATGTTACAAAGTAATGTGCAATTTACCCCGAACAGTAGTACATCAGAGTAGCCACAGGCTATAGATGAAGCTTCTCTAGATGACCTTACTAATTTCAGAAACCAAATAGTCCCCAGAATTTTAGGGGAAGGGTGATTCCCATTCAAATCTATAACACTCCAAACCTATTTCTGTTTAGCATTTCTGTTTGGTCTGTTTCTTTGAATGCTATAATAAGAACTGGTATTTTAATAACCTTTCAGTACGATGGTTTCTCTTCCTTCTTGTGTGAGCTAAAGGCTAGCCTTTCCTTTCTTCTTTAGCATTCCTTTTCCATAAAAGAAAGGAAAGAGCTTGTGATCGAGAGGCTGATTTTGACCCTAAATAAGAATCTCTGGCTAATTTTTCCTTGGTGTCAGATAATAAGACCAATTTTTTTTTTCAAAGTTATCTGCACATTTATTTTTCTGTCTGTCTACTTCCCTGGCTGTCACCATCAGTCCCAGTAGTACTGTATAGCACATTTAGTTTTACAACTGCATTAAGTAGTTCATGACATGACTCTTTGAAGATAAAGGACACCCAGGGTCACTGCAGGGAAAAT